AATGCCGCGTTGGACGTTGTCCTATATGCTCTACACATTCTGATGAGTATCGGTCGTTGTATGGATTGAATCTTACGTTTGAAGTTAATATTGTCAATTTTTTCGCCCCAAAACGGAGCACCATATAAAATAGCTGGTTCGATGCATGCTTTATTTAGCATTGTAATTGCTTTCCCACTGAGGCCCCACTCCTTGTGAGCAATACTTAACATGGCATTCATTGTTTTGCTTATTTTACTTGCGATGTAATCTAAATGTTTAGTCCAGGTTAAGCTACAATCAATCATTACTCCTAAATATTTCATCACGTTAACATTTTTAATCCTATTTCCATTAATGGTTATTTTGAAAGCCTTTTGAAGTTGTTTTCCTTTTGAGAGAACCATATTCTCACACTTATCATAATTGATGTCAAGTTTATTCTGTTTGCTCCAATTGTATATTTTATGCAGTATCATGTTTGCTTTCTCTTGTAGTCTTTTTCCATACCTATGTGAAATCATGAGCACAGTGTCATCCGCGTAGCTTTGTAGTCTCCAATTATCTTCGTTATGTTCGTTCAATTTAAGGAGGTCGTTGCAAACAATGTTCCAAAGCCCAGGGCCCGACCTTGACCCCTGTGGGCAACCTCTAAAAATAGAGCGTATGACATTTCCTCTTTGATGGTATACTCCTGCTGTTCTCTCTGTTAAATAACTCTTAAGGATGGTAAATAGATTTTTCGGACATCCGGCCTGTCGAAGCTGATGAAAAAGCGCTGGCCACCATAAAGTATTGAAAGCATTTCTGTAATCTATGGTAACTATCAACACATGTTCATTACGAGTCCATGCTTCTTTAATAAAAGTAATAAGTCTATATAACGCATGATAGGTGGAATGCTGTTTAGTAAATTCATACTGCTCTTTGTGCATCCAATTATTATTATATAAGTGGAAGTTTATTCTTTCAATAATTAAACCATCCAGTACCTTGCTGGGTATGGATAAGAGACTAATTGGTCTATACTGAGTTGGTTTAAAATGGCCAGTTGTCCCGGGTTTCGGTATAAATTTAATTGCTGCCTCTTTCCAAATTCTTGGAAAACATCCCTCTTCAAGGCATTTGTTATATGTATATATGAAAGAGCCACCGGCACAGCGTTGAATGCATGTTTTAACATTTCTGGGGTTATGCCATCTGGCCCTGGCGCTTTTCTATTTTTAACTGATTTTATAGCTTATTTCTAGGAATGTAAAAGGTCTATCCTCCTCTGTGTCTGGAAGAACTGATGCATTTCTTCTAATATTTGCTTGAATATTGTTATCATCTTCTTCGTTATCATTAGGAAAGTGTGTATCAAGAAGGTAATTGACCATTTCCGTATAATCTGTAGTATAAGTGCCATCTGATTTAAGAATGTTAGCTGGAATTTCTGCCCTTGTTCTCTTTTTACACACTACGTAGTAGGGTTCACTCCACACGTTTGTTTTGCTAGCTAGCGTGCAGAACTTATGCCAAGCTTGGCTCCGGGCTTTATTTATGTTTGTCTTATAATTATTAAAACATTGTAAGTATTCTCTTCTCTTCACAGATTTTTCCTCCGGGTCAGTCTCCGTCCGATATTTCTTTTGAAGCTTACGTGTTTTCCTTCTAAGATCCGAAAGATCGTTATTCCACCAATGAGCATTATTCCTAGTAATCTGTTTATAATGTGTGGAAAGATGGTAAGATTCAATAATACAGTAGTTAAGATGCTCGGCTAATGAGTCCACGTCCATGTTGTATATCTGTTTGGAGGCCCAAAAAGTGTTAAAGTATATTTTGAAAGTATTCCAGTCTGTAAAACCTTTAAGGCTGTTGTCAGTCTTTAGTGCCGGAGTGTTAATGACCTTCCAAATAATGTATCTATGGTCACTGGCTGTTATATCTTCTACAGTTTCGCATTTATCAATATATTTAAGAGCGTAACTGTTTGCAGCAGAAATGTCCACCCAACTTTCTCCTCTGTGTGTAAAGAAAGTTGGTAAATTACTGGTATTGCAAGAAACCATGTTGTGGCTGGATAAGAAGTCTGAGTTTCCTGCCCCGTACATCTTCAATCGGGCTAAACCACAATGGCGACTTCGCATTGCAGTCACCGGCTATAATCCAGGGTGAATTCTTAATATGTTTGCTGATGTCATCTAATTTAATCAGAAGATCCTGTATCTCTGCATATGGCGAGCCGTACACCAAAGTAATGTACAATATTTTATTCCTGTGAGAAATCTGGACCGTGGTAATATAATCCAAACTGAGTAAAGGGCAGAAGTCCATGTTTAAGTCTTTATTTGGAGCTAGAATCCCCGTTTTCGGTGTCGTGAAAAGGCCTTTGGGAGGGAATGTTTTCCAGTTACCAAACCGAACAATGCCACCGTCTAAAGTATACGGCTCCTGTATAATTATCACATCCGCTTTCTTTTCTGTGACTGTCTTAATCAGAAGGGAAGAGGCTGCTTTACATTTCTCCGCATTAATTTGAATAATAGTGATATCAGCATTTTGATTTGTAGTCCCTTGTACACTGTGTAAATATGGTGTCCCTGTTAGATTACCAGTAGCATTAGATCCCATAGTCTGTTTGTTTAATTTTCTGAGCTTTCAATTTTTGTAATGTAAAACATATTTTGTTATACGCATTATGATTTGTCGGGACTTTTTTTGTTGCAGGTTGCTCTCTATTATACTTTATGCAATTAATGCAACACGGTGTTTTTTGTTTTTCATTGCATTCATTGAATTTATGTTCTTTCGTGCAATGACTGCAGTGGGCTTTCTCGGTACAGTCCTTTGCCATATGGTTGAAGCCGGCGCATTGAAAGCACCTAATAATTGGTATAAAGTCATCTAGTTTAATGTTTGCCCATGCCAACGAAAGATATCTGTGTTTGATTAGTAAATTTCTAATATAGGGTGAGACTGATATTACCACATGATGACAATTTTCTCTTATATTTCCTCTAGTAATTATAGTGCTGATTCTACATGTTTCTAAAAATTCTTCCTTACTGAGTTCTCCCCAAATGTTGTTTTGATTGTATACCATTTCTAAAAGACTGTCATTTTCAACAGATTCTGGGACATTAAGAAGAATTATTCGTGGTTTCCGTCCTTCAGCTATGTGGCATCTAATTTTTTCTTTAGTGGATGGAATCTTTTCGATTGCTTTCAATAATTTCTCTCCGTCTTTGTAGCTACCAACCCTAAAGCAAGCTCCTTCATTCCTTATCTTCCTGACTCCTTTAACTTTTAAGCCAATATTAGCTGGGTTTACCTCTGTCATAATCGTATTCACAATGTTATTTATGTCAGTGTGCTCTTCTTGAGCCCCTTGAGAAGGATAAACGAGAACAGCATGTGTTCCACCTGTGCCCTCATTGTTAATCTTAGATGAGAGAGATTTCGATATTATTTTGGTTGTAGAACTTGAGTTATTAGTAGTTTTCACTATTTCCGCATAAGTTTTCTGTGGGATATTAGGCATTTGTGTCTCTGTGGGTCCTCTTTTATTTTTCCTGATTTCTTTAATTATTCCATACATTTCATGCAGATAACCATATAATTTTCTTGCACATTTCCTTAATTCCAATCTTTGGTTGACTTTGATACTTGAGTTAGTGTTCCCCGGACAGAGGTCAAGTACACGACCAAGTAAGAATTCACTGTCCCTAATCATTTCCTCCTCAGCTGGCTCCCCCCGGTCGTTTTGTGTTTCAGCCAAAATAATTCGTGTCTGCGAAGAATTGATGTCAACGTCATCAAAGGGTGCTAAAACAACCCTGGGATCGTTACATTTCATTTCTCTCCTGATATTGTCCATACTGTCAATGAGCACCTCGAACAATAACCCAGTGAAAAGAGCTCGAGCCCGAGAAAACCAAAGAATAAAAGACAAACCAAAACAAAAACCAAAGAACCCTACAAGCTATGACCCGAGAACTGAAATATAATACTAAAATCCCGAAAAAGAATTCCCCCGAAAAAAAAAACCCAAAATCCTTAAAATCTAAAGTATTTATATAATGAGATCAATAAATATTTAACTAAAGCTTTATTATTATTTAAATTAAATAAACAAACAAACAAAAAAAAAAAACCGTTAACCAAAACCGTTAAAAGTTCGTTACTTTTGAAAATTTCCATAACTGGTAATGCTATAGAATAAAACGCTTATATCACCGTTAAAAATACACCGATCTACCCCAAATTTACACATCTAATACAAAATGATATAGTAAATACAGCCCCCAAATCCGCGTCACTTCCGATTTATCCCCCTCTCGCAAGAGCCTACTGAAAATTGCAAAATTTAAAATCCTTTAGCTCCCACCCTAATTAAGAAAATTATATAATTAATATACCATACGAACCGGGCTGAAGAGCTCTTTCCACGGATGTGTAAACTAAAATGGTATTCCGAGAATAACATACGAAAAGCACACGAAACCAGGAGCCACAACTGACACAACCTTACAGTAACGTCCATTAATGCACTCTGATATCCAAACTCATGAAAAGTCACCAAGTTTTTTATTTCACTTATTTATCTAAAAATCGTATTACTGTAAGATGCAAAAATTAGATTGGACCAGTTTTGGTATTTTTATTTATACTTATTTTAATTATTTGTACATACTAAGTTTATCTACAATCTATGATATTTCCATATAAATAATTATATTTTAGTTTTGTTTGTGGTAAACTGTGGCAGCGGGCCAGATGAGCTGTCCTCGCCCGCTGTCACACTTTGTGCTGTGAAGAGTTTATGCAGAACTAAAATAACATTTCATAAAAAGAGCTAAGTAGTAGAAAATAGTTAAACATAAATATAAAAGATCACAAAATTTAAATCTGAAGATCTGATTATTACAAGAATCTATATGTTGTTTTATTTTTATAGTTTAAAAGTTTATTTTTTTTTAGAAGACTAATTTTATTATGTTTTATTTTTTATTAAGATTTTTTTTGCTTTTCATTAGGTATACCATGATGAGAAGAGTGTATTTTATCAATCTTTGGATGCATCATATTTTAATTTTATTAATTATAACAAAGAGAAAAAATTATTAATGGAAGCTTTAGATAGTTTTAAATCATTGAGTTCTAAAGAAAATTTCATAAAAAATTTAAGGTAGGTTGAAATTCATAATTAATAAATAAAAAGTTTTCTTGAAAGTTTTGAAATATTTCTCAATATAAAATTAAAAAATAGTCTAGGTAATAGAAATATGTTTATATCAAAATTAGGAAGATAATAAGCATTTGCAATATTTAAATTACATTTGCTCTTTATTTATTATTATTTTTTAATAAAAATTAGCAGTAGTTTACAAAGGATATAAAGTTTACTAAGTAAAATCCATGCAAATATGTTTTATAATTTTATAAAATTTATGAATTCTACAATATAATTTATCTTCACATTGCATTAAGAAAAATCACTGAATTAAAGACAGATGAATAATAAATATTCAAATTATTGAGCTTAATCTTGTTAAACAGTCAGAATGAAATGTAGAAATTGGCAGATTGAAAGCTATAAAATAATTAAGAGAAACATTTATTCAAAATATAGTCTCTCCTTGACTTGCAATAGGGTTACATTCCAAGAAACACAAGTTGAAAATAAAAATAAAAAAAATAAATAAATAGGCTATATACAAGATTATATAGTACATAACATTGTGACTTATTCAGAACATAACATGAGTTTAGGCTATTGTTGATTACAATAGCCCAAACTGAGTGATCACCGTAATTGCTATAGTTAGATATTATCTTAAGTTTCTCGTTTTCTCATTGAATCATTCATCAAGAAAGATCATTAATGCATAAGTAGAGCAGCTTGAATTCAAATTTTAAATATTTCTCATGCTTCCACTTTACTTGCATCAGCCATTGTATGTGTGAAATATTGTATGTCAAAACACTAAGTTGAAGAGCATCTTTATATAATTTAATTCTTAGTTGTAGGGCATAGAAAACAATATTTGTTTCACTTAATATTTGATGAGAGAATCTATAAACATTAAGTTGCATAACCATTTAACCAATATAAGAACTATAAATATTTTGTTAGAGCATTGTAAATCATAATTAATGATTAGATTAAATCAACATTTACATTAACATTCAGTCTTTATGTATATTCAATTCATATATTGAAATTCAAAATTTGCTATGAATACAGTTAATTAAGTTGTCAAAATTCAAACTGAAATTTAGAAATCAGTATATTTAATTTAAAACAGTATTTTACAAATCTGTGTACAAAGATATATAGTATTATTACTTCTCCTAATCATTATTATTATTATTATTACTAATTTGAATTTCCAAAATTGACCTTATTTCTAATATGTTTTTAAATAATATTTATAAAATTTGTAGATATAAATTATTAAATTTAGTTGCTTTCATGCTAATCATTAGAAAATTCTGGTATTATATTTAAATTTTATATTCTGCATATTACATTAATTATTTACATTATTATATTGTAAAATTAAATATACATTTACTTTAAAAATTCTTAAAAATGTATTAAAGAGTTTTTACTATTCTATATATTTCATGTTTATAGATATAACTTAATTATGGATATTGCTAAAAATGTTGACTGTTCTAAGATTTTTGTTGGTGAATCTGCCACTTTGCTTGCTATTCGGTTGTTGTCTGATCTTGCTCAAGGATGTGGTGCTAATATAGCTGATGAAACAGTTAAGTAAAAATTGAATAATTTATTATGTTTCATGTGTTTGAATTGTATTTATTATATAATAAAATTGCAAATTGCACTTTTATAAATTAATTATTTTTATTTTTAATTTCCTGTAGGGCTTTGTTGATGGTAGATATGCAATACCAATCCTCAGACCAATGAGGTAGTTTTATATTTTAAATTAATATTTTAATAAATTTATAATAACATATAATAAAATTATAAAGGAATCTATTTAGTTATCTGAAGATGTATTGCACAAACATAAATTTTAATGTATTTTTAGCTCTTTTATTTACCTATTGTTTATTTTATTATCACAGGTTTTATTGTTCGGATGGAAATCTTTTATCTTACTCAGACTTTTCTCATTGTAACTAAAATAAATAAATAAATAAAGAATTTAATTTTGGTTAGTGTTAATTAAGTATTAATAATATATAAATGAGCAGTGAAACTATAAATTTTATAGGAATTTTAATTTTTAGAATGAAACAATTAACGTTTCCTTTATATATGGAATTTCAAAATATTTTTATTTTCAATTTACAAATATCAGTTATAACTTGCATTTTTTTTTTTTATTCAAAATGCACAACAAAGTTTCTGACTAAGAATATTCTGTACAAAAATTTTTTCAACATTTATTTTTAATTATAATAAATGGTTATATGAAAATGAAAATAAGAAATCAGGAAATCTGTTTGGTTATGTAGGTATTATAACTTTCTATATTTTATAAAATTGAATTTAAAAAAAGATAAATTTTTCAAGAAACATTTCCTTTTATACTGACTTCCTGAGATATGTCAGAAAATATAAGTACTAGCACTTATGAGAAAAACTTTATTTACATCAAAAATCTCTTTGGAGGAAACACTTATTTTTAATGTAAATAAAGAGTTTTTCTCATAAAAGCTAGTAGTTATATTTTCTAACATACCTCTGGAAGTAAGTATAAAAAGAAAACAGTTCTCAGAAAATTAATCTTTTCTTTTTTTTACATTTAATTTTAATATAATTTACATTGATCTCATTGGAAATTTTATATTTATTTTCTATATTTTAATATTAAAAACAAAACTGATATTTTAAAAACATTTTCAAAATACAATAATTCAGAAGCTTGAAATACATTTATTAAAAAAGTTTTTTGAATTTAAGTTGATACCTCTTCAGTAATATATATAATTTAATTATTTTATCAATTACCATAATTTAGATAATTGTGTCCTTGAAAATGAGCAGGGAAAGCTCAAAAGCATTTAAGTTTTAAAAATATTTAAATGATTTCTTTAATAAGGCATGTTTTCTTATAATCAAAATAGTTAGCTGTAAGGTATTATTTTATATTCCCATAAAAAAACAGAGATTATCGATAATTTATAAGCACGGTTTTTTAGTATTACATCTTTGTATTGCAACTATTTAAAATTGTTTATACAATATATTTAATAAAATTATTATATTTCATAAATCTAAAATTTAATAATCTAATAATTTGGATTTGGCTTTTAACCTTCATAGTTCACTGATATATATGTTATATATTTTTTTATTATTATTAATATTATTATGTTAAAAAGTTTTTAGAAGTATTTATTATATTTTCAGAGAATTTCTCAACAAAGAAATAGCCATGTACAACCATTTTTTAGATATACCATATCAAGTTAAACAAACATTATCTACAAAGGTGAGCTTAAGTTGGTGTCTGTTTATCTTTATCACAAATCAATATTAATGATGATAAATTTAATACTAATGGCATGAATTAACAAATTAATTAGTTCTTTGCAGAATTAATTAATTTATTAATTTATGCCATTAGTATTAAATTTATCATCATTAGTATTGATTTGTGATAAACTGTACGGAATTAATTATAACAACAAACCTGATTTTTGCCAAGCATAAAATAATTTTATGCTTGGCAAAAATTATTTGGATTAAAATAGAATAGAAATCAAAATTAAAGATCAATGTATTTTTTAATAAATATGTAGCTTTTGATATTTAATTAGTCTTCTATTGTTATTACAATATTAGACCAAATATCTAATTGCTGTCTTTATCAGCAAGCATTGAAAATAGTTACTGAATCTCTTTTATTGATGTAATTGCTATATGTGATAGCCTTGTAAATTTCTAGGACCGCAATGAATTTAGCTAAGTTTTTTCCTTAACTGATTTTATTATATTTGCTCCACTCCAATCAAATTATGTATTATTTAACACATTGACTGCCAACTATGAGACAACTCATAGTTTGTGTTATTGCTTACGTCACCACATATGAGTTATCTCGTAGTTTTTTTACTTTCCATATTTGTGCAGCTACGATGAAATTCGTAGTATATCAGTGTAAATATGAATAGATAGCCTCAGGGGCAAGAACAAAAAATCAAGGTTGGCTTACATGAACAGAACATTTATTAATAAATGAACAGAAAATGTAATCATAAAAAGTTTATTCAAAAGCAAAAGCATATTTTATTGTTTGTGATAATTTTTAAAACAATCTTTCATGCAAAGGACTGGCTTCTCTGGACAGATTGGACAGAAATAATGCATTTCTCAGCATTTTTTAGCTTTGGTACAAATTCAACATGGCTTTGTCAGATGCTGTTTTTTTCTTTTTTTTCGGTAGGTGGGATACTCTGTAAATAATGAAGCTCTTGCAATCTAATGTTTTTGAAACTGGTTGAATCTCTTCTCCAATTAATGCATTGACAAATGCTTCTCTAAACTTTATAAGTTTTATTTTAGAAGAAGTTACTTTTTGAAAAAGTTTGTGCACATTGTGTATATATATCTCTATAATATGTAATGCAACCTTTTTGGGCTATCTAATAGTCTTTCTTAAAGCTGTTTTGATAGCATTTGATCTGATCAGTCAATGCCAGACATTCCTTAATTGTAATCTCGAATTATATTCAGTTTCATCGAACATTTTCCATTGAAATTAAACATTTCTACCATTTCTTCAGGTTCGGAGATGACTTTATCATCACTGTCCTCACTTGAATTCTCAGAAGGTACAGTACTTACATAATCACTACTGTCGTTACCATCCTCACCAAAAATCTTGTCAGATTCTGAATCACTTAGATTACCTTAGTACTCAAGTTGTTTTTCAGTGAATGGTCTTTTCTTATCCATATTTGGGGTATTTATAATTTGATTATAAAAATAATTATAAAACAACACACTCAAGAAAGACGTAAGTGTGATGCACTCAACTCTATATCTGATTTATTACTAACGAATTTAGATGCTCGGCTGTAGCGAAGCTACAGGTCAAATTGTATCTGTGCACGAATAAACTTGTAGTTTGGCTTTAGCAAAGAGCTTTCTGTTACATAAGCCAACTATGAGATAATTTGTAAGATTTTTTTTTTAAAAAACACATTCTATATGCTTTTTGATGATTATTACTATGTACTATAATTAGAGTTTTTAATAATATAATATGATTAAATGAAATTGGTTTTTTACACCAGAATCTTGAAAAATACTATGGGAGTCAACGTGTTAAAATGTATTTTAAAAATTTAATGTAAAAGCCAGCGCAACAATTGGATATTTTTAAAATTTATGCTTTAATTATAAGTAAATTTAATATTTTTTGTTTGTTTTCAATACTATTTTAATCAGGGCTGTGGAGTCGCGTAAAAATCTACTGACTCCGACTCCGACTTTTCCTTACCATCCGACTCCGACCAGGGGCGGACTTGTTACCGAAAGAAACCCAGAAATTCTAATGTCATCACATGACTTCAGAATAAAAGATTCAATAAATAGAGTTCTAATAAAGATAGAGCGTAGAANATAAACTAATGTTTATTCTTGAATTCAGTAAATCACAGCATTGTATTGTATAAAAAATTTTACAAGTAACCACTCAGGAACTGCCTCTTATTTTTATTTATAAAATATTTTTGATCTTACATTCACTCATTCTCTGTATCACTTAATTAATGAACAATTCTTTTTCAAATATTTCAAATATTAATGTTCTTTAAGTGCTGAATTTTTCAAATACAATGGTTAACATCTGAACATAATTTAAAGGTTTAAATGTGTTTTTACAATTTGATCAGTCTATTTTCTTCATGTATTCAAGAAAATCTGTTATTGATTAACATATTCTACAGTTGCTGTGTACTGTGTGCATCTATTTTATGATTATAATGTGAGGTCTAAAGTGTTCAAATAAAAACACAATTTCTGAATTATGAGTGGTTACTTGTAAATTTTTTAACTAATGCATAGTTAAAAAATTTATATTTAATTTCATTAAGAATAAAAATATTCAAATTTACATTATAAAATTATTTTTAAAAATAATTTGTGTTAATAATAAAATAAATAATGATTAGTAATTTAATAATTATATTAAAAGTATTACCCACATGAAATTTACAGAAAAATGAAAACTTTAATTTTATTTTTAAATTATTTGATGGTGATTAATTTTTATTATGTTTTTATTATTTTCAGAATAGGCAATAAATTATGTGCGGATTCAGACAAAATATCTAAAAATAAATGTATTTTATGTCAGGTAATTTAACTGAATTTTATTATTAAAGTATAGTCATTATTTTTGAAATTCAAAAATCTTGGTACTACTGTAATAAGAACAAATCTTCAACATTGTTTGTTAAGGTAATAAACTATTTTATTTACAAAAATATGTTTACAGCTTTATTTAAACCATTTTTACTTTTACAATTTGTTCCAATGAACATTCAAAGTTATAGAATTTAAAATAATTTTTTAAATTTAGTAATAAAATAAATAATTATAAAATTCTTCCTAAGAATGGAACATCATCTTAAATCATTTGCATCATTTGCAAACTGTTGATTCAGCAACATCATCACCATAAACAGTACATATTTCATTTATTGTTTGTATTGCATTTTTGCCTTTTCAGAAAAAGAAAAGCATGAAATGTCAAAAATACATCTTGTTTGGTTCTATCTTAACAAAGATGCAGATTAAAAGCAATTTTAAAAAATCCTACTGAAGTTTTTTTAACGGATACTTCTCAATGCAACATGTCACTACATTTATAGGTATATTACCCTTTTAATAGATTTGACATCATTCAACATATTCAGTTATCATCTATAAAAAGTCATTATGAACTTTTTGGACAACCCAAAATATAACTTATTGTAAGGTTGCCAACTGTATGCAATTTTCAGGATGGACAAGGAGTTGAGAGAGTCTTATGTGGGTGTGATTTGGACACTGAATCAGGCTTACCATTTACATTTTAATTCCGTTTAATTGAGAAAAAAAAAATATGCTTACAAGAGTTTTGTTAATTTTGCCTACAAAGGATTCAACTTGATTGTTCAGTTGGAGGAGAGAGTCCAGGAAAAGTTTGAATGTTGTTGTTGTTGTTGTTGTTGATGATTGGTCCCTCAGCAATTTACATTTTATGGGTTGATGGCCCCAGGACTCTTTTCATCTGATGAAATTGTGGATAAAGTGAGAAGTTCAGATCAATTAAAATATTCGCCCAACAACAAAGAGGACTTAAACTTTTAATATGTCTGGATTGTATTCTAAGTAGCATGTTTTTGTGAGTTAATTCCTCAGGACATGGATCATGGGAGAAAAAAGAATGGATCTCGGAGAAAAAACCTTGTGTCCTTGAAATGCAGGTTTTTAAAGGCATTCACTTCTCAATTCTGCATTTCGATTGGACAATGATCTCCCTCATCACTTTCCAATTGATCTTCCCTTGTCTCTAGTTGACAATTTGAAACCTTTTGGGGGGCAGGAGAGCTTATCATTGACACTCAATCCAATACCAATCAGATAGAATTCCTTCAAACTTTGAAATTCTCCCTCATAATTTCAGCCTTTGGTTTACTTTTTTGACAAAAGAAAATTTTTAATTATCTTTGTGAGACAGTAGCGAGATTGAGGCCAAAGTTTTAAATGCAAAAATGTGTACGTCAGGCATTCAGCGCTGCTTTCCCATAAGCCTAGAAGCTTGACAATGGTGTTTGGAATGTCGAGCATGATTCCACTGACTATCCAAACACCATTGTCAAACTTCTAGGCTTACGGGAAAGCAGCGCTGAACATCCAATGTACACATTTTCTTGTTTAAAACTTCGGCCTCAATCTCACTACTGTGTCATCTTTATTTTATATAGATGAGAGTTTAACTGTCCCATCAGATATTCGTTAACATTTAAACACTAAATTCCAAATTCCTTCCAGGACCTCACATTATTAAAAATACTTAATAATTGTTATGAATATTTTTAAATATAATAATGGTACATATTAAATTTATTTATGGTATAATTATATTTATTTTTTTAAATATAATAACAATAATAAATTACCATATTGAATCATCAACCTTCAAGAGTACACATGACTGATAAGAAAAACAAACTACCATCAAGAAGTCAAAATATTTAAGTTTTAGAAATTTTTTATATCACAGTTTTAGTTACTTAAATTATATAATTCTTTAAAATTGACTAATATAAAATTTCAATTCTTAAATTTTGACAATTATTAGAGTTATCAAAATTTAAGATTTCAACTTTAGTTCAATAGCTGAAGTTAAGAAAGCAAATATTCTGAAAACATTTCTAAAACTTAAATATTTTGGTTCCTTAATAATGGTTTGATATTTATGTCATATATTTTACTGGATACCAATGTAAATGAATTCTTAGTTTAACACTGTTATTTTTAATTACTTCTATTTCAAATGTAATATTTTAAATTGTTTTTAATTCTTAATAATATATTTGATTTTTCTAAATACCTTAATTTTTTCTTGTTAGTCATACATTGATACAACAAACATAGAAGAATGTTCTGCTCTGAAAGCTTTGCAGTTATCTGAAAGACTCTGTCAGAAACTAGAAAATCAAGCTTCAACAAGTATAGAAAGTAATTGTCAGCTTCCAAATAATAAATGTTGTCAGAGAAACAAAAATTCAGGATGTGCATCAGAATCTAGGTATTATTTATATTTAATTGTATGAACTATATCTCATTCAATGAAAGATGAACTTTATATATATTGAATAGTAATCATCTGATGATTGTAATGGTCAGGCCATCCAATAGGAGACCAAGATTGTTTTCTTCGTCCAGTTACTGTTTAGAAAAGTTTCATATTTTATCTTACTACTGCTCTCTAACTTGAAAATTATTAAATAATAATTTGAATTTTATACAACATTACTTTAATTTAATAATACAGATTTTGACACCATAGAATTAAAAAAAAAAAAGAAGCAAGTAAAACAATACTGTTAATTATTGTGTTAATTATTAACTGTTAATTTGTTGTGTTTTGAAAACAATTCATAGATTTTTCTCAAAATAACAAATTTCAAAAATGTAGATTATTATAATAATTTAGAACTTTAGATTAGTGAAAGTGCTGTATATTATACAAGGTGTTGAAAAAAAAATTCAGCACTTACATGGTAGATAGTTCAAACCATACTGAATAAAAAAATCCTTAGAAACAGTTGCATTTTCAACTTATTTTTGCTGAGTTATAAACAGTTTTGTGTGTTAGTATCACAACTGACTTTTTGGCCTCTATATGCTGCATGTGACAAGAAAAGAGAGGATAATCTTGCCAAATCTTTACCTTGATATTTGCAGGTGTTCCACATGTCCTCTTTT